AGTGAGGAAATTAAAATGTTGATCAAAAAGTGTTTTGGCTTCAATTACCGCTAAGAAAGAAATCCGTTAGCAAACGCCTTCTGATCATTTCCTCCTAGATCCTATATTTCCGGGGAGTTGGGCTGGCTTTTCACCTCCCATTTCCCCATAGCAACCCATGACCGTCGGCCATTTTCCCCTCGAATACTTTGCGGGGGCGGGAGCCGGACGAGGCGCAAACCGTCAAGGTTCGAAAGGGATTGTCATTACGGGGATATAGCGAAGAATTCCGGAAAAGCGAGGAAAATCGAAGACACTTCAGATCTACATTGGCACCAACCAGGCGCTTTGCTTCGATTGTCAGCATTTTGCAACATTTTACCTGTTTCCTTAGACAGACTATAAAATTTTCTCAATCACCCAAACGTGTTTTTTTTGGAGCATAGACTACAATGTACAACAATGAACTGCAGTCTGTGAACTCGGAAATGCTATTAAAATACGATATCCGGGGTGTAGCGGAAAGAATAAAATACATGAAAAACCCACGGAAAAAACATATTGGCGCAAAAAGGGACCCCTGGTATTCTCATTTAGTTGAAACATTATTACCGACATCCCGGAAAGCTAACCTGATTTGTTTTGATACATCAGAATTTGGTCTTTTTTCGAGCAGAGATTTCAAAGTAAAACGCAGAACTAAAGTCAGTCAACTCGAAAATGCTACTAAAATACACTACAGTATACGGTATCCAGCATTGCTTACATGTATAGTGTATTGCAGAGTGTAGCGGAAAAGGAAAGTGCAGGGCTGAAACTAAAATCGGAGCCCATCGAAGAGATATTGACACAATAGGATCCCACTTTGCTTTGGTTTTCGCTGAAACATTTTTATTGTGTCACGCTAGAAAGCTCGGAAAGGTTATTCAAATACAATGCAGTATACAGTATCCAGTATTGTTTACGTGTATAGTAGTATCTCGGAGAGTATCGGAAAAGAAGAAAATATTTTAAATACCCACAGAGAAGAAATACTTTATTGGCGCAAAAGGAGACCTCTTTTATTTTATTTGGGTTAGTGGTTAGTGTTTTTTAGAACATTTTTTATAGTCATCCCAGAAAGTTTAGATAATAATAAAAAAACATTTTCGGTAACCCAGATTTTAGTTTTTGACGCATAGACTACAAAGTACAACAATGAACTGCAGTCTGTGAACTCGGAAATGCTAATAAAATACGATATCCGGAGCGGTTTTATTGACACCCCAGAGAGTTAACCACTTTTTTTTCGAGATTTCATAATTTATGACGGTCAGGTCATGGATAGTTAGCGGGGGAAAACTAATTCTTATCCTTCTGCCTGTAATAAAACAACACATAATTTATGTTATGATGTTTTTTAGTAGTTTCCAATTACTAGAAGGTTATAAAAATATTCTTGAAAATTATGACATTTTGAAAATAAATGTTATTAAAATGCTGGAATGCTGCAGTTGCATTAATCAATTTAAACAGCGACAGAAATTTTTATTTCAACAAACCCTGACAGAATTGGAATATTTTTCTCCGCCGTGAACTCCCAAATTTTCGAAACATTGTATGTTAGGCAATAATTTAGCAGTCTTAATTTTTGTTCAGTCATTGGGTTAAATTACCGTACTCCATCAAAACGCTATTTTTCTACGCGATAAAAGATTCAGTGAAAACTAAATAAAAATAGGAATAAACGAGGATTTTTAGCGATTTTTGCACCCGTAAGCTTTATCATTCTTCAACATTTTTTCGAAGTTACGAGTTTTTTTGCGTGTATTTGTTTGTGTATTTGTAAACCAAAAGACCGCTCCGCAACCTTGCGCTCACGCGCGCGTCACCTGGATCATTAGGCTCCCAACCGTGTGATTGAGCTACATTAAAAACATCATTTTGCGCCCTCTAAATGTCATTTTTAGTTCTGATTTTGGTAAAACTTATTAAAAAAATTATGTTGCCAAAAAATTAGGTGGTGTTCGTGGAACCAAAACCAAAAATACCAATACCAATAGAACCAAAACTGGCCAATTTTCCGACCAAAAAAAATTGAATTTTTTAGACTAAATTATTGGGAGAAATTGTCAGAGCTGGATGCAGCCGGGACGTTATAATTTTTTGAAACATATTTTTCAGTGAACCCCAAATATAAAGACTTTTAAGCATCCGCAGTAGAGTGTGTCGTGTTTGAATAATTATTTGAATATATTCGAGCCCGCTCAAATAAATTATTTGAAGGCATCCCGGAAATTATTCAAATAATCGGTCAAATAACGGAACCACCTCCGCTCCGATTCAAATATATTTGAACATTATTCAAATAAATCCGAGCTGGACAAGCTAAACGAAATTTGAAAAAATCGCGCCCATGGATTTAAGAAGGGCCTTTGTCGACCTTAGAATAACACCGCGGACCATTTCCTAGATGTTATAATGCCGAATAGTGAAAAATGACGGTATTTTTCGGTATTTCGGGATTTTTAGGGTTTCCAGTTTTCGGTGGTCGGAATCAGCGGCAGACAACCAAAGTGCCTATCGGCTCGCCAAGCGCAATATAACAACTGTCCGAATGCCGACTTGAAAATGCCGACGTGCTAAATGCCGAAACGCGAAAATGCCGACGGGAGGTTTTGTTCCGAAATGCAATGCTAACATCTATATCGAAAATTTTTTGATGCCGGCATTCTGCAAAAACAGCGTTGCAGGGCTGTGCGACATTTGGCGGTTGATATTTTAGCCCAACTCGTCTCGAAATTTGACATTTCTTATTTGAATGAAAGTTTTGACTAGGTTTTGTCAAAAGGAGAGCGATTTGACAAAGCTCGGTTTTATTTGAACATGTTCAAATATATTTGAATCGGCACTCCGGGAGAACGGTTATTCAAATAACGGTTCTGGATTATTTGAATATCCGTTATTTGGATTTATTTATTCAAAGTGGATTTGTATTTGCAAACGACACACTCTAGTCCGAAGGACCCCAGCTGTCGGAAAGTCAAATTTATCATGGAAAAGCCGTATTCCAGTGCCCAAGGCCCGCGAAGCGGGTTTTGCGCGCTGGTTTATTAATTAAAGTGTTGGACTCACTTAATTAAATTTGGATCCTAATTTGCGTTCTGATTTGCATCGCGATTAGCATCGCCGGTAGTTTTTACGCGCGAGTTCAGGTATAAAAAAATGACGTCGCATGGGGAAGCCGATCTTCACAACTAATTTCTCGCTAAACGCTTTCTTCTCACCTCACACGATATTGGACTAATTACTGATATGCCCGTGGGTCTCTCTGTTTGTCTGTGTGTCTGCCTCCCTCTTTTTCGTAGAGTTTGACTGTATTCAAATTGATAATTCGGTTGGCAATACGTTAAATTAGACGCTTGGCTCCTGTGGCTTTTGTTGACTCACTTTTGGCTAAGGACCCTCTCTGCTGCTCCCTTCCACATTCCCTCGTTTTCAAAAGACAACGTAATTTTTGCAGCCTCGCCAGAAACCCATTGACGTGACATCGCTACAGGAAAAGCATCAGACTTCATGGGCCAAGTACGATCGGGTGCGGCGCCGACTCGCACACCAGGAAGAGCAACTCTCGACTAAAGTAGGGTTCTCTATCTCTATCGGCCTTTCTCCCCCTTCTCTCTCTCTCTCTCTCTCTCTCTCTCTCCCTCCTCCCCTCCCCCCCCCCCCCCCCCCCCCCCCCCCCCCCCCCCCCCCCCCCCCCCCCCCCCCCCCCCCCCCCCCCCCCCCCCCCCCCCCCCCCCCCCCCCCCCCCCCCCCCCCCGCCCCCCCCCCCCCCCCCCTCTCCTCTCTCTCTCTCTCCCGGCCTCCCTCTCTCTAATGGACGGTGAATTTGCCCCCCCCCCCCCACGTTTTAAACATGCTTTTCAGACTCTCGTTTGGATGTCAGTTGAAAGCCGCCTCGCCCACGCTTATCTGTCGAAACAACACCTGATTCGCACCACGTGGATCGAAGCGCACCTCGGCGACCTGGACGCCGGGCGGCCCGGAACTCCATGCCGGCCACCTGTGATGACGATAGCTAAGCTGTTTTTTACTAGCCCTAAGGGGCAAACTTTGAAACTGAAAACTCAACTCTAGCTCTAACATACAAAATGTAACGATTTTTCGACCAAACGTGCCGATTGTCTAGCAAGATTATGCCTAACGAAAATTTTCGAATGTTTCGGTTGCATTGCCACTCGCGATATCATCACATTTTGAAAAAGCAATCTTAAGATATTAAGCATTTCTGGACCCCCCGCCTGCTCCCATCCACACGAATGTTTTCAGATCCGCGAGCCGACCCCGAACAAGAATTTCCAACAAGCGCTCAATGACGATCAGCTTCTCAGCATCACCCTCGCCTACCAAGCCGCCCAGGATTTCGACGGCATCCCGATGAACGCTCTTCATGAGGTGAAATCTGAGCGGAATTGGCGGTTGGGCGGCTAGCAGAGATCATTGAGGATGAGAGGGGCAAGGGGGACAGGCTAGCAGAGATCATTGAGGATGAGAGGGCAAGGGGGGACAGGCTAGCAGAGATCATTGAGGATGAGAGGGGCAAGAGGGACAGGCTACAGAGATCATTGAGGATGAGAGGCAGGGGACAGGCAAGAGACGTGAGGAGAGAGGCAAGGGGGCAGGCACAAACAAAAGAACAAAAAACAAACAAAAAAAACAAAAAAACAACAAAACCAACAAAAACCACAAAAGCCCAACGAAGGGCAAGGGGGACAGGCGAGACTGAGGATGAGGGAAGGGGACAAGCAGAGACTGAGGAAGATAAAGGGCAAGGGGAGCGCAGGACTTGAGGAGAGAGGGCAAGGGGGGACAGGCTAGCAGAGATCATTGAGGATGAGAGGGGCAAGGGGGACAGGCTAGCAGAGATCATTGAGGATGAGAGGGCAAGGGGGGACAGGCTAGCAGAGATCGGTGAGGATTAGGATTTTCTAAAGGTAAAACACACCATTATTGGATGGTATTGTATTTGTGATTTATAGAAGTTGAACACTTGGGAGAACATTGACAGACCTGCCCTGATCGCGAACATTGACGTACTGAAGACCGAACTGGACGAGCTGTACGCCGACTTTCTGAAAGAGGTATGGGATAAAACATTCATAATCATAAAGGTTGTAACCATTATTGATGGTTATTTTTATAGTATAGAGTTAGAGTATAGAAAATGTACTTCTAGTTTTAATTACAACACAATTTGATATATATATATATAATTTATTCTAGGTCAACGACAAAACCACTGCGTGGAGGGCGATCAAGACCGCCGTGGAAGCCCTAGAATCTGACAAAAAGCAGATTTGTGGCGAGTTGTCGCAGCCGAACATCAACCTCCCACTTAACATGCAAGTAAGCGGTACAGGTACACTAGCAGTTTTTCGTAGCGTCTCATTTTTTAATATTTCTAAGCTGTTTTTACGGTTTCAAGGCGCCAAACTTTTACAAGCTACGATTCGGCATTGGTGCGCTTGGCATGGTCTTAGCTTAAGCCTGGCTTAGGTTTAACCCCGGGCTTACCTTAGACCTAACTTAGGTTTAGCTTGTGCCTAGCTTAGGCTTAGCTTAGGTTTAGCCCCGGCTTAGGTCAGGCCTGGCCGGGGCTTAGCTTAGCAGAACCATTGACGACCCATTTACATTTACTCTTTGCAGACGTTTCCCCCGGTTATTGGTGTCACTGCGGCCGGCCGATTGGATACTGGTGCTGGGACTGGCAGCGACGAGATGAAGCCGCACAGCGGCCAGCAAGAGCACGAACCGGAGCAGGATGCGCCAGATACTGATGAGGTGTGAGGTCTCGAGAAGCAACATCCCCAACCCGCAACACACAACTTACCGAACAAGCACCGTCTTTCCCCGATTTTCGTCCTGTCTCTCTCTTCCTCACTTGCCCACCCTATCTGTCCGTCTCTGGGGCTTTCGCCGAACCATACGCTAATGTACCAACCGCCTTCCTGGCTATTGTTCACGGTTTTTTGAGAGTTTGGTATTGAATCTTTTTTTATGGGAGAACTCCCAGAGACGGAACAGAATGATGTCCCTTGCCCTTCCAGTCTTGTGCTCGCTTTATCATTGACAACATCTTTAACATCTCTGTTTACCTACTTCTGACTAACAACTTCTTTACTTCACTAGCTTCGCATTTCTTTGAATAAATGGATTTTGGAGGGGCCCGGAAGCCCGGGGATTTTTTGGCTTCTGGCCTTGCAATGTGACCACGCGAAGGGCGGCGAGATTCTCGTTGATTGGAGTGTTTCGTAGGCGGTCTGCCTGTGGGGCTTCCTGGTCCCTTTAAAAGACCATGGCCCGAAGACATCTCTCTCGCTCTCTCTCTCTCTCTCTCTCTCCTCTCTCTCTCTCTCTCTCTCGCTCTCACTTTCTCTCTCTCTCTCTCTCTCTCTCTCTCTCTCTCTCTCTCTCTCTCTCTCTCTCTCTCTCCTCTCTCTCTCTCCTCTCTCTGTCTCTCTGTCTCTCTCTCCCTCTCTCTCTCTCTCTCTCTCTCTCCCTCTCTCTCTCTCTCTCTCTCTCGATCTGGCTTTCTCTCTCTCCCCCTATCTCTCTCCCTCCCTCTGTCTTTCTGTATATCTGTCAAGGTGTCGATTTTTGCTCTCTTGCGCTCTCTCACGACACTCTTTGCAGCAACCGGCTCATCCTGTCGTCTCCCTCAAAAAGCTGGGCCGTCGCCGTGAATATGAGGTAAGCTGTCAAGGTGGTGGTTCCCCTGGTTCCCCACCCCGTTGATTCCTGGCAATTAGCCAAACAATTGAAAAATTTTTTTTATATTTTTAAAAAAAAATTTAAAAAAAATTTTTTTAATATTGGGAAAAAAAAAAAAAAAAAAAAAAAAAAAAAATAAAAAAAAAAAAAAAAAAAAAAAAAAAAAGGAGGGAAAGAAAAAAAAAAAGAGAGAAAAAATATTTTTTAAAAAATTTTTTATAAAAAAAAAAAAAATTTTTTTATTTTTTGGAAAAAAAAATTGCGTCTTTGAATTTCAATAAAAATCCGCCAAGTTTTAACCCGGGGAGTCCAAAAAAGGGAAAACCCCCCCAAAATTTAAAGGGGATCATCTATATATAGCGAAAAAACGGGGGAGGGGGGGAGGAACGGCGGGGGGTTAAAAAACTTTTTTTCCCGTGATTTTTCGCCCAGAAAAAAAATTTGGGGGTTTCCCGGGAGGGGACCCTTTTTTTTGAGCCAACAGGTTGATTTGACTTCTGAGGCTCTTAGCATAGTTTGCCATTCAGCCGGGGCGATGCACGATCTGCCCACCAGAGAAAGGGGAGCAAGATGTGTCGGTGCGATTTGTGGAGCCGGCCTGTGCAAGCCATGTCAAATGTTTTGGGTAGGTCCACTCACTCTCTCTCACTCACTCTCTCCCTCTCTCTCACTCTCTCACCACTCTCTCACTCTCTCAGCACCCTCTCTCACGCACTCTTCTCTCTCTCCTCTCTCTCACTCACTCTCGCTCTCTCTCTGTATCTCTCACTCACTCTCTCTCTCTCTATCTCCCTTTCTCTGTCCCAACAAATAGACCGACCGCAGACCTATCCGATTTTTACTATATGGGTATCTATCGAAAGCTCTCGGAAAGGTGAGTCCAGTATGTAGCTCCGATTTTCGATATTTGTGAATTTTTGCTCAACTTTCGACATTTGCCGGACGAAAACTATCCGGTTTTTTTGGTGAAAAACTCAATTTATCCAGTTTAAGCGCTATCCAAGAGGGTTTTCGAAAACGGATTTCAACAAGCTGGCCGTCAAGCTGCCAGGAAAGGCGTAAACATTCTTAGATTGTGAATTGTGTCAAATCCCCTGGTCAGATAAACATCAGAACGTCCGTCCGTTTCGCAAAAATATTGGCAGCAGAAAAAATTTCAAAATATTGAGAACCGAAAGGCCGTGCTGGACCGGCCTTGCCGAAAGCTTTCGATAGATACGTAAATCGTCAGAAACGGGCACGTCCGCGGCCTGCGGAATTTTTGGTTCTGGTCTGTTAGCGGAGGGGGATCTTTAGGGGGGTGGAGTGCGATTTCCACATATACCTGTTGATAATATGTAATTAATTTTTATAGTGTTTTTAATAGTTTTTTTGCTAGAAAGTTATAAAAATTCTTTTTCAAATTCGAAAATTTTGACTTTTTTGGGCATTTTTCATACAATTTTGACGACAAAGTTGAAATTAGCGTAAATTTTTATATTGTTTTTCTATCTGAAAACCAAATATGTAAAATGCTATAAAATCGATTTCTATGTTGCTACAGGGCCGTAGAGAATCCTAGAGATAATTTGGTTCCGCCACCCCCCCCCCGCTAACAGTCCAGAACCGAGCTACACCCAATAAAAAGCAATTCACGCGAACTATACAATCATTTGCAGAAAAATATTGACAAAGTACGAGGCAAGCCCAGACCACTCTTCCCGCTGCACTCCCAATCGTAAGTGCCGACCGCCTCGAGGGCACCAATTTTGTTTTTGGCATTTCCGAACCTACGCAAAAGCTGTAATTGCTCGTGTGTATACACACGTTGTTGTTTTTTTGGCGTTCTTGGCCATTTTATAC